AAAAAAAAAAAAAAAAAGAAAGAAAGAAAAGAAAAGAATCTTGCCTGATATAGCAATGAATGATTTCAATTCCAGCACTCCAGAGAAGAGGCAAGAAGACCACAAGTTCAAGGTCAGGCTGGGGTACATAGAAATCTAGAACACATCTCAGAAAACAGAAATCACAAAAAAAACCTTAAACTGGATGTGCTGATGCACACTGGATGTGTTGTGTTGATACACTGGATGTGCTGATGCACACTGATGTGCTGATGCACACTGGATGTGTTGTGTTGATGCACACTGGATGTGTTGTGTTGATACACTGGATGTGCTGATGCACAATGGATGTGTTGATGCACACTGGATATGTTGTGTTGATGTGCTGATGCACACTGGATGTGTTGTGTTGATGCACTGGATGTGCTGATGCATACTTGATGTACTGATGTAGCACTAAGAAGTAGAATCAGGAGGATTGCAAGTTTGAGGCCAGTGTGAAACACATGGTAAATTTGAAGTCAGCCTAGACTGTGTAACAGGATCCTGCCTCAGAAAACAAAAACAAAACAAAATAAAACCCTTGTCTAACTCTATGGTTATCTACAATTTACTCTCTCAGAGACTTCCTTTCCCTCTGTGTTGACCAATTCTGTCTTTGTTCTTTGTTGCTGTTCACCATGGCCCCTCCTTTTTTTCCCCCTCTCTGAGGATTGAACCTTCTAGGCAAATGTTCTACCAGTAACCGTCATTCTTAGTGAAGGCCCAAGATTGCATTTATCAAGCAGGATTCTACAGCAGGGGTAGATGTAGCCTCCCAAGACATTATTCTTCGGTTCAATAAATAATTCCCTATCTACCCTGACAAGAATGTTAAACTAGATTAAAAAACAAAACAAGCTGGGTGGTGGTAGTGCACGCCTTTAGTCCCAGCACTCAGAAGGCAGAGCCAGACAGATCTCTATGAGTTCGAGGCCAGCCTGGTCTACACAGCGAGATCCAGGACAGGCACCAAAACTACACAGAGAAACCCTGTCTCAAAGAAACCAAACAAAGAAACAAACAAAAATGCACAAGGTTTCATGTATCTCAAGCTGGCCTCCAACTTGTGTGTGTCAGAGGACGACCTTAAACCTTTTTTTTAGTAATTTATTTATTTATTTTTGTTTTACTTGCATGTAAGTCTGTGTGAGGGTGTCAGATCTTAGAGTTACAAACAGTTGTTATGTGGGCGCTGGGAACTGAACCCGGGTCCTCTGGAAGAACAGCCAGTGCTCTTAACCACTGAGTCACCTCTCCAGCCCAGACTTTAAACTTCTAATCCCCGTGCCTGTACCTCTTGGTGTGGTGGTGTCCTGTACCACCCCACCAGGTTCGTGGAAGGCTTGCTGGGAGTCCAACCCAGGGCCTTCTGCATGCTATGTAAGCAGTCTGCTGACGGAGCTGCAGATCCATCCCCCAGATGTCCTTTTAAAGGAAATAACCATGCCTTTTTTTATAAAGGGGTTGTGACTTCCAAAAAACTGAAAAAGCACAGGGCGGTGGTGGCGCACGCCTTTAATCCCAGCACTCAGGAGGCAGAGGCAGGCGGATCTCTGTGAGTTTGAGGCCAGCCTGGTCTATAGAGCGAGTTCCAGGACAGTCTTCAAAGCTACACAGAGAAACACTGTCTCAGAAAACAAACAAACAAGCAAACAAAAAAACACCCAAAAAGCCTAGAGAGAGGGCTCAGCAGTTAAGAGCACTGGCTGCTCTTCCAGAGGACCTGAGTTCAATTCCCAGCCACCACATGGTAGTTCACAGCCATCTGTAATGAGATCTGGTGCCCTCTTCTGGCAGGCAGGCATTCCTACATGCAGAACACTGCATATGTGATAAATCTTTAAAAACAATTTTTTTAATTTAAAAAAATTGAAAAGGAATGAAGCTAGCAATCTCCTTTCTGTGTTTCTCTACATAACTGCTTTAGATTTGTATTTTCGGTTCTACGAGTTGTGGAAGCTCTGTAAACTGCGGATTCCATGACACACAACAGTGGAAGACTTGTCACTAGGCAGGAGGCTCCAAAGACCCATCTCCAGCTCTTGTCCATTGCTAACCATAATAGCATTGTCTTGCTGCAGGGTGTTTGTGAGAACGACACAGTCTGAGGAGAGAGCACTTAGACCACAGAAAGCCAGCACGCCCTGCTGACTGTGATGACACTTGGGGTTTTCCTTTGTGGTTTTTTTTTCTTTTTTTTTTTGTGGGGGGGGGGTGTGGAGGATGGTTGGTTTTTCAAGACAGGGTTTCTCTATGTAGCAGCCCTGACCTCCTGGAACTCTCTTTGTAGACGATGCTGGCCTCGAACTCACAGAGATCTTCCTGCCTCTGCCTCCTGAGTGGTGGGATCAAAGGTATATGCCACCACTGATGCTGTTTAAAAACACATCCTATTTTTAAAAAACTGCTTTCAGCCAAAGCTACCCTGAGAAACCCTGTCTCAAAAAACCAAAAAACAAAAACTGCTTTCAGACCTAGTGACACACACTAGTAATCCCAGCATTTGGCAGGATGGGGCAGGAGGACCCGGAGGATGGGGCAGGAGGACCCAGAGTTTAAGACCAGTCTGGGCTATATAATGAGTCCAGGTTTTCTTTTCTTTTTTTTTTCTGGGAGAGCCCAACTAATTGACACATATCTCTTATATCTGAGTCCAATTTTTCTTGTATGTTTTATGTTTTAAAATGTTAGCATATTACTTAAATAAAATTGACATGTAATAAAGTGTGCCATCGTAAGTATAAAATTTGGAGGCTGGAGAGATGGCTCCGCTGTTAAGAGCGGCTGCTATGCGGAGGACCCAGGTTCAATTCCCAGCACCAACATGGCAGCTCACAACTGTCCAGTTCCAGGGGATCCAACACTCTCACATAGACATACAAGTAAGCAAAACACCACTGTATATAAAATTATTAAAAATGTTATATAAGTACAAAAGAAGTATATGATTTGTTGAGTTTTAACAAATTATCACTCTGGTTAAAATATAGGACTATTCAGGCTGGGCATAATAGTGCACGCCTTTAATCCCAGCACTTGGGAGGCAGAAGCATGTGGATCTCTGTGTGTTCAAGGCTAGCCTGGTCCACATAGTGAGGAGCTCCAGGACAGCCAGAGAGTTATGTAATAGAGAGATACTGTCTCATATATATATGAGTGTGTGTGTGTGTGTGTGTGTGTGTGTGTGTGTGTGTGTATGTGTATGTATGAACAAAGGAAGACTAGACCAGGACTATTCCATAACCACCCCCAAATCTCCTAGTGACCTTTGAGATCAACTTTCCCACTCCAGACAACTATTAACCTATCCACTGCCACTGATCTACTTAAATGGCTTATAACTTGAAAGATTCAGAGTAAACCAGTTACTTTGACCACCAATCAGGTCACCAATACACAATTTTTTTTCTCTTTTTTCTTTTTCCAAGACAGGGTTTCACTGTGTAGCTTTGGAGCCTGTCCTAGAACTCGCTCTGTGGAACAGGCTGGCCTCGAACTCACAGAGATCTGCCTGGCTCTACCTCCTGAGTGCTGAGATTAAAGGTGTGCGCCATCACTGCCCAGCCACCGATATATTTTTTGTTGGCACACTGAGTGTTGAACCCAGGGCCTTGTGCATTCAAGGCAAATGCTCTACCACTGAGCTGGATTCCCAGTCCAGCTAACTGTCACTGTACATGAGTTTTAACAAGATCTCATACAGTGCCTGTTTCTTAGTTAGTGTAAGGTTTTACATTCACCCCTGCTGTTACCTGTACAGCAGACACAATAAATACACTCTAGAGTTTTTGGTTGGTTGATTTTGGGAGACAGGATCTTGCCGTTTAGGCCAGACTGTGCTGGATCTCACTGTGTAGCCCAGGCTAGTCTCAAGTTTATGATCCCCCTGTTTAACGTCCCAGGCACTGGGATCCCAGGTGTGTACCCTATGTGCTGCACGTTACTGTTGTTATTGTTAGTCCTGTTTGCTTTTTAGAAAAAGGTTTTCAGTGTAGTCTAAACTGTCTTGAAATTTATGACTCCCCTGCTTCTACTCCTGAATGCTAGGAATACAAGTGAGTCCCACCATGCCTGGCTATTGGATTAACTTTATTGCTGAATATTCAATTGTGTGATCATTTCCGGAGATGGACACGGGTTATTTCTAGTTCATTTTTTTTCTCTTTTAGTTTTTCAAGACAGGATTTCTCTCTGGAGCCTTGGCTATCCTGGACCTCCTTCTGTAGACCAGGCTGGCCTCGAATTTACAGAGATAAACCTCTCTCTGTAAATGCTGGGATTAAAGGCATGCACCACCACTGCCCGGTTTAGCATATGGTTTTAATAGTGAAAAAATAAGAGAGCAATCTCAGCAAAAAGCCTAAGACTGGTTCAGTGTCTTTGAAGTCCTGGTAAGCATCTGCTTAAGCAGCAGGATATTTATATTCCCAGTCTCATCTGTCTGAGACTTGTTACTGTGATTGTTTTATTATTATTATTATTAATTAGTACTATTATTTTATTTTCTTCTCATTGAAGCTTGACATTAGATTTTTTTGAATTCATAGTTTAAAAAAAAAAAAGGTAAAACATTTCTACACAGTTGCAGCCAAACCACCGTTTTGAAATGCCCAGTGATGAAAGCCTGAGTTCGCCGCACGCCATCCTGAAGGGAGGGGGCTGAGTGTCCATCTGGGCAGCAATTGCTCCGTGCCTGTGACCAAGTAAGTGGCCCAGGGGCTGGGGGTGGAGGGGGCTCAGGAACGGTTCTTCCTCTAAGATGCTGTTTCTAGAAGACATTTTCTTCTGGAAAAGAGGGCAAGTCTTGTGGTGGTGCTCTTGCCGACATGACTGTTGTGAGCCCTTGTCTTAGAAGAGCCGACATTATATTTGTTCCTGCACCTCTTTTTGTTTGCTTAGTGAACAAGTCTTTATGTTTCAGAAACGGAATTAAGCTCTAGAGTACCAGGGTGAACCGGACAGGACCTGTGACCTGTGGGCGGGTCCGTTCTGCGTGAGGTGTTTGGAGCAGGTATGGGCTGTGGCCGAGGAGATGTGCAGGTGCCTGACCTAGCCTAACACAGACACAGTGAGTCACCTCCTATTCCGCTCAAGTCTCCCACCTTATCAGACAGATTGGTGGCATAATTTGAGAAGTAGGTAAAATGTGGAGGAGTATGTTACAAAGTTCTCAGTGTAAAGGAAAAGAAACAAGGCAGGAAATAGAAGCGGGAAGAGAAGCTGGGCGTGGTGGTGCATGCCTTTTATCCCAGAATTCAGGAGGCCAGGCAGCAAGATCTCTGTGGATTCCAGTCCATATCTGGCTGCTTAATGTTATTTTGTTTTTGTTTTTGCTTTGTTTTTAGGCTTTTCGAGACAGGGGTTCTCTGTGTAGTCCTGGCTGTCCCGGAACTCGCTCTGTAGACTTGGCTGACCTCAAACTCAGAGATCCACCTGCCTCTGCCTCCCGAGTGCTGGGATTAAAGGTGTGCGCCACCACCACCCGGCTCTTTTCTATTATTTTAAGGCTAACTCTTCTACACGGCCCAGGCTGATCATAAACGGGCTTCTTTCCGCTTCTACTCTCGAAGTGCTGAAGTTACAAGCCTGTGCGGCCACAGCACAGCTTCATGAACTTGCAGTTTTATTTATTTATTGTAGTTTGCCGTATGGAGGATGGAACCTAGGACCTTATGTGTGCTAGGCAAGCACGCTGCCAGTGAGCCGTACCCCCTGCCCCCACACTTGGGATTTAGATGTTATACTAAGAAAGGTCACTGAGAAGGTGACAGGCACTGAAGCTATGCCCCAAAGAGGCTGAGGAACCAGATGTGCAGACGTCTAGGGGAGGAACAGTCAGGTAGCACCGAGCTCTGCGGTGCAGAATGTCTGGTCCATCCTGGGCTGGCCAGCGTGGGGATGAGGAGAGATGGAGAGATTGCAGGACCTTTGGCCAGTGCACAGGCTTTGTTTTTTTTACTTGAGTTACACAATAGTGGGAGATTTTGAACACAAATGTGACAGTGTAATTTGAGGGGGAAAAGGGAGGAAACCGAGAGGAACACCCTCCTCTGCCTGTTTACTATCCCGGAGGCACACTGAGCCAAAGGTGCCCTCAGCCCTTGAGGTAAGGGGGGAGCAGGGGCAGATCAGGAGGCGGGGTCCTTCTGTGACAGTGTTTGTCACAGGAAGTCTCTTTCACACTTCTCTGCCACTCTCAGACCTGCACAAACGGAAACGCCTCCTTCATACGCTTGCATTTTAGAGTCTTCTGTCACCACAGTAACTGGTCTACTCTACCCTGATCAGCTGGGTACCGAATTCACGTGTCAAGCCTTCGCTGCCTTTGAAGTAAGACCTGGGACCCTTGCCTGTGGAAAAAGACCTGAGGTGTTAAATACTTTTTTTTTCCCCCCGAGACAGGGTTTCTCTGTGTAGCTTTGCGCCTTTCCTGGAACTCACTTGGTAGCCCAGGCTGGCCTCGAACTCACAGAGATCTGCCTGGCTCTGCCTCCTGAGTGCTGGGATTAAAGGTGTGCACCACCACCGCCCGGCGTTAAATACTTCTAATGAGGATTGCAAAGCGCATTTGTGTGTTAGGTTTTTGTTTTGTTTTAATTTTAAAATTTATTTATGTGTATGTGTGTGTGCCTGTTTGTCTGTATGTATAACACTTGTGTGCAGGTACCCCTGGAGGCCACAAGAGGGTAGAGGATCCCTGCAGCTGGAATTATAGGCAGTTGTGGGCCGCCTGATGTGGGTACTGGGAATTGAACTCTGGTCCTCTGTAAAAACCCTAAGTACTTCTAACTGCTCAGCCATCTTTTCAGTCTCTCTCTCTCAAGATTTATCATATATATATAGTATTCTATCTGCATGTATCCCTGCAGGCCAGAAGAGGGCACCAGATCTCATTATGGATGGTTGTGAGCCACCATGTGGTTGCTGGGAATTGAACTCAGGACCTCTGGAAGAGCA